TGATGCCAAAATGATAAAGTTGGCTAAAAAATGTAGAGTGAATGTGTGAGCTCTGGAAAACATTAACAAAAATAACCAAGTAACACTCCCCATTCATACCTAATTCCTACTGCCATCAAATTTAGCTGTGTGTACTTTGGACCCGCTGGAACTCAACTCCTATTTTAAGTGCCCAATAGCTTGTAGTCTGATTACTCCATAAAAAAAGATATGTTGTCAACACTGTAGTTTAGGCAGATTCTCCATTGTCTGCTCCCTTGTTATGGGCATTTACATCAACACAGAGTGGGTGTATAGCAGCCAGCAGTCTGTGTTAGCAGCACTTTGCAGTCAGTTTGCACTTACGTAAAGGATTGTGCAAGTGAGAGGGAATCTAGCCCCTGGGAATTGTGTGTGTTTTTGGGTGTAATCTTGGTGCGTGTAGCCAACACATGAGAATATAGAGAAGTTTTAACATGCTGTGGCTGCCATCACCCCAGATAAATAGAACAAACTACGGAGCTGTCAGTCGCACTCACAAACAGGAGCCAGAATAGCCCATGTTTTGTGGTGGCAGATACACAGAAATATGAGCCCGTAAGAAGTGATATATTGCTCTGTTTTTCATAGAGTTGCTCACCGCATTCTCATACTGGTCAGATAAAAAATTCTTTTGGCCAAAGAAGGGTTCCAAAAAACATTACAGCCCATGGAGTTTCTCAGGATGTCTCTTTGCAACTCAGAAGAAAATTGGCGATTTCTGCTCCATTGGGCAGAATTGGATTGTGACTCTGGTTTAGAGAAGCCAATATCGCTGCAGTCATTGGGACAGCCCAGAAAGAAAGCATTATGAAGGTATGTTTATGGAGTGGGGCCATGTGTTCCTTCCTCCCACCTCAGAGCCATAAATGCTGCATATCCCACTCTGTAGCATGAAGGTGTCCCAGCAGAGGTATTAATGTGGTGCTTTCGGGGGCAGGAGGAAATGGAGGCACCTTACCCACGTGCTCCCCAAGGATCTGCCATATGTTGGTTGGAAATCTTTGACAAGACTCAAAGCACCATTAAAGCTTTTCTGAGCCTTTTTAATGTATTTATTTTCACAGCACTGGTGACAATGTATAGGAAAGGGACACTCGCTGGTAGCAGCACGGCTCATACCCATAGACCTCCAGCTCCAAGCAGGAATAGCCCACCAAGTTATCAGAAAGTCAGGATGCAGCCATTAAAGACGGTTTTCTCTATAAAGGCTTGGGATCTTCTTTTTGCTGCCCAGAGCCCATAGCCCCAGTTGGAGGAGCAAAGCAGGAATCAAGAGCAGCCCCTGTTGCATGTTTCATTCCCCTGGGGTTTCCCAGTGGTGGGGCACCATGAGCTCCCAGCACAAGGCAAGGATATCTATATGCTGGCAAGGGGGTTTGTTTTCCTCTGACCTAATGCTTAGAAACTGCTGAGACCTTACAAATCCTTAGCATGAGGCAAATTTCCCCAGAAGAGAATTTTTTCCACCAAAAGATTTAGATTTGGCATAATTCATGATCAGATGAATGTAGAGGTGTAGGATGAAAAATGATAAGCCCCTGCCAGCTCTGCCTGCAACAACTCACGTGTTGTCCACTGCTTTTTGACCAAGATTTGTCTTATTTTGCTACAACTAATTAATACCCCTAGTATTGAACTAATATTGTTTTGCTACAGCTAATGAATATTTTAACCTGCCTGATGTTTGTAATGGTTGCATCTCATTGGTAAATGGTGAGGAGGAGATGTGAGAGGTGAATGTCTACCAGATGAGCGATCTGGAAGATGGAATAAAGGCTGACATCACCCCACAATACGTGGTGCCGCTGTCTGAAGCTGTCTGGCTGCCATAGTGCTAGGAAAATCAGAGAAGTGATCTCCCTCATATTTCCTCCTTGGATGGGGTTCAAGGCTGCGGCCTCACCTCTCTTGGAAGCAGCTTGCAATGCCTTCAATAATGGGAAGGGTTGGAATGGCTGAGGGCGGGATCCTCCTGGAAAGTGCCAGGTAGCACTGGGAGATGGGCTCTGCTGCACCGCCTGCGAATTTTGCACAGCCCAACATGGTTATCTTGGCTGGGGTGATTAATCTCTGGTCCTGCAGTATCACTGAGGGTGCTATTATGGGCAAACTCCCATTTCTTAGAGCAGAAGCTGGGCAAGTTCCACTCCAGAAGACCACGCCAGTGGGAACCGAACGAATGGGGTGAGCTGGGCATTCTGTGCTCCTGGACCCACTGCTCCTATAAATCGCAAAGTTTCTTTGTTGTCTGCAAAGACAACCCCATGAATCAGAAATCTTCTGGGGGGTGTCTGCAAGTAATCGAGTGTGGGAAGCTGTGGAGAGCACCGCCTGGAGGCTGCAGCCACCTTTAGGAGCTCCGCATTCCCGATGCTCCGATGTTAGGTGTTTGGTTTGTGCTCTCCACAGATCTTTTGTCGGATTTTATTGGTTTGTTGGTCTTTGCCATGTTGGCGGTATCCCTCCGCCCATTGCTGCCCGCAGCACGGCGGGACTCCCGGGCACGGCAGGGCAGGGCCGCCCCGCGCCCCTCAGCTCCGCAGCCATAGCACAAAGGGGCAGCCCGGCGGGAGGATCCCTGCGGCTCCGAGCAGCGCGGTGCTGCTCCCGACCCCGACAGGAGGGTCCAGGTAGTTGGGTCAGGGCCGGCAGAGACGGTGAAGAGGAAGGGGGGCCCGGATTTGTTTTATTAAGTTCGTTTTTTGCTCGTTCCCTCAGCTAGGAGCCCCTCGAAGGAGATTTCGCAGAGAGCGATCGGCAGGACAGAGCCCCGTCGTTATTACAGAACTAATGAGTTCTCCAGGCGCTCCCTTTGGGCCGAGGTGCGGGGATGCCCTGTGTCCTCCCCGCCTCCGCCGCCGTCCGGGGGGGGGGGGGGGGGGGGGCGCCCCGGGGGCCCCCCCCCCCCCCCGGGCGGCCCCCCCCCCCCCCCCCCCCCAGCAGCTTTCGACTCAGCGAGAGAGCTAGGAAAAAGAATGGGAGAAGTTTTTTAATCACGAAGGAGCAAATTTTCATTTCTTTTTCTCCCTCTCTCCGAGGAACTGCCGTACTCTGCAGAGGGACAGCCGAGGAGAAATAACCCCAGTGCGGACGCCCCGTCCTGGGCGGCTGCGGACCGCTCGGTGCCACCGCGGGCGCTCCGCGTTCGTCGCAGCGCTGGGACCGCAGCTCTCCGCCCGGAGCTGCGCTGTGTCCCTCCCGACGGAAAGTCCAACAGAACGCAGTTCCAAAAAGAAAGGGAAAAGGTTTGATTTAATCCAGAAAATAATTAAAATCTCATGTATTTTTATTGGTTTGAGTATCCAGCAGAGTGAAAATATTGAAACTCCGAGCCCCCTTGCATTAAAAAGTCACAACTGCTCCATTTTATTGGTTCTGACTGTGTGAAAAAAATTATAAGGACAACATTGAAAAAATCCGGGTTTTAGAGCCCCGAATGGCCGTAAAAACAATAAAATCAACTATAAAACCTGCACTAGTGATATTAAAAAATTATGTAGTTCAATAAATGTGACATTTTCATGAATGCGATTTAATAGTCTCCGGGCCGGGAGGAGGAAGGCGAAGGGGTAACAATTGGATCGGAGCGGGGCGGTGCCGCGGGGCCGCGAAATTAAGTGCTTCATTTTCCTTGTTGGGGATTATGCAGTGGGAGTGGAATGTAATAACCGCGCCATTAAACCTTCCCTTTAACAAGGCCTGTTGCTGGTATAAAAGTCAGAAAAGAATAATCTCTTCCTCTATTTATTTGTTTTCAAATAATACAGCAAAACACGGATTTTTGCCTTTTTTTTTTTTTCGGCTTAAATTTGTTCTCAGCGTTGGGAAGCACAGACCGTAACGCCCCGCGGAGGGCAGTGGGTCAGCGCCTCCCGCGCCCCCATTAAGTGCTCCGAGCTGCAAATCCAACACTTCCAGCCCAGCCATGAGCTAACCAACCCCCTTGGACGGAGCAATGCCTCGGAGACCGGGAGCGGAGAGAAAAAATAATCAGAACTGTCAGCCCGCTTGACGTGTACCTGATATTTACAAGACACAAGACCACGCTTTAAAGGTGAGTTTTGGCATTTGTTAACAACATAAAGAAAAAAATCCAACCGCCTGATATTATTAAAATATATATATATATTTCCATTTCCACAACACCCTTTCGTCTCGCTCCCAGTCTCGTACTTATTAAGAACTTCGTGGGTTTGGGGGGGGTGGGGTGGGGAAAGTATATATACATATATATGTGTGTGTAAAAGCAGCACCTGCTGTTCCTTAGCAGCTCTTTGCGATCGCTGTCACCAGGCGGAGAGAGGAGGACACCTGCTGCCGACCCGATCTCTCGTCGGGGCGCTCCCTGGGGCGGCTCTGTGGGGTTTGGCGCTGCCGGAGGAGGGCGAGCGGCCGCCTCGCACTGCTTCCCTCCCTCCGGTGCGCGGGGAGCCGCTTCCAGCGCCTCGTCCGCCCTGTCGGGGGCTCCGCCGCCGCTACCTCTCGCTCAGCGGCAGTGAGTGCCCCAGGGGTACCGAGTCCGCGGGGCCGCTCACCCCGCCCTGCACCCCCTCTGTCACCCAGAGCCGGGCCAGGCTGCGGGGCCGGGTAGGGGGGATCGCCCAACGGGATGCCCGAAGTCCGGGCCCGGTGCCGGAGGAACGCGCCCCGCCGCCCGCCCACCCCGGGTGCCCGCTCGGTGCCGTCGGGGCCCGGCTCGCGTTGATTGGCGCCGCGGGGAGTCCGCTCAGGGGAGGCGGGGGGGAGCTTTCGCCGGCGGGGGTGGTTTCCCCCTTCCCTGTCCGGGCTCATTGGCTAGACGGAGCCGCGGCAGGAAGGGGACAGAGACCACGCGGGCTCCGCCCCGCGCCGATAGAAACCTATCGGAGGGGAACCCGAGCCCGGAGAAACCCGCGGCGGCGGTGGCAACAGCCGGCGGCCGCGCTCGGGGCCGCTCTCCGAGGGGCGGCCGGGCCGCGGCGGGCCGGGGGGGCCGCGCCATGCAGTACCAGGCGCCGGGCGCGGCTCCGGCGGCGGCCCTGGGCGTCGGCGTCCCGCTGTACGCGCCCACGCCGCTGCTGCAGCCCGCGCACCCCACGCCCTTCTACATCGAGGACATCCTGGGCCGCGGCCCCGCCGCCGCGCCGGCCCCCCACTCCCTGCCCGCCCCGCCGCCGCCGACGCTGCCGTCGCCCAACTCCTCCTTCACCAGCCTGGTGGCCCCGTACCGGACCCCCGTCTACGAGCCGACCCCCATCCACCCGGCCTTCTCCCATCACCTCGCCGCCACCTACGGCACCGGCGCTTACGCCGGGCCCCTCTACTCCTTTCCCCGCGCCGTCGGCGACTATACGCACGCACTGATCCGCCAGGACCCCCTGGGTAAGCCGCGGCCCCCCCTCCCCGCCCGGTCCCTATCCCGTCCCGTCCCGTCTCATCCCGTCCCACGCCGCCGTCGGGGAAGCGGCGGAGCTCAGCCCCGGCCCCCTCGGCGCCCTCCCGCTTTACAGTAAATTCAGGGCAGCTCCGCGTTGGGAGCGAGACCGCAGTGCGCGGCCGCGGTGACTCAGATTTGTTTTCCTTCAACCGAGCGCCTCTCAGAGTGTCCTTAGTAATGTCGCGTGTGGTTTTGTTGGGGAGTTTTAATTGTGCCGAGAGATCGCGCAGCAGATCGCGGCCTTTTCCTGCCGATGGGTCCCAGTGCCGCCCGCACCGGCCCCGCTCCCGGCCCCGCGGCTCGCGGATGGGATCCGGGGGGGGGGGGCATTCTATCCCGGTGCGGGGCCCGCGCTGCCCTCAGTGATTGCAAAACGCGCCCTGAGTCACCGCACCGCAGCAGCGAAGGAGCCTGACCCTTTCCGTTCATACAGGAAACCTTGAGCTCTCGATAGGAGTAAATCTGGTTTCAGTAGCTGTTAAGTGTTTTCCTGGCCGCCCGGAGCAGGCTCTTCCCCGGGAGTCGTGCACGGCGCTGATTACTTTATCGACATCCTCAATACAGACAAATTCAGGAAACACTCGGCTTCTGATAGCCGGGATCCGTTTTTCTGATATTGTTCATTTCCTCTGTGTGGGATGTGCCTTTATGACAGCTAAAATAACCAGTTGCTTCCTATTTTTTGAGGCTGTTTTGCACCAGAATTACTAAAGCCTGACGCAAGCAAAAATCTTGAAAAACAATGCAGCGAATTTCAAAGGCTGCGGGCGGCGGACGGGGGGACAGCGGCGATACCTTGGCCACGGCCAACGACGGCGGGCCGGGACCCCCGGGGGCGTCCCGCAGGCACCGGGCTGGAGCGCGGTGCGGGGTTGGGGCGTGCGGGCCAGGGCCATCCCGGTGGGAGATGGAGGAGACACGCGGCAGTGAAAGAGCAGAAGGAAGAGAAGGACTTTTTTTTTTTCTTCTTCTACTCTGTATTTTCTTTGCGCGATAGACCAACAGGAAACACATTGACGGAAACGCTGCCAGAGCCCGTGGAGGGGCTCTGAGCGCTCACTGCTCCGCCGGGCTGCGAAAACAGAGGAGAGAAAGTTGGGGCCGGTAGCGGGGCCGGGGTTCGAGGGGCCGGGATTGGCGGTGATGGTGCTGCTCCTTTTCTCCCCGAAGGAAAGCCGCTGCTGTGGAGCCCCTTCATCCAACGGCCGCTGCATAAGAGGAAAGGTGGGCAGGTGCGCTTCTCCAACGAGCAGACCATCGAGCTGGAGAAGAAGTTCGAGACGCAGAAATATCTCTCCCCGCCTGAGAGGAAGCGCCTAGCCAAGCTGCTGCAGCTCAGCGAGCGCCAGGTGAGGCCCAGCCCCACTCTCCGTGGCCGGGGGGTCCCTGCGTCCCGACCCGCACCACCCTGTGCCTTTCTCTCCCGCCGTAGGTCAAAACGTGGTTCCAGAACCGCAGAGCCAAATGGAGGCGCCTGAAGCAGGTACGGGATGGTTCCGTTTCTATAGCAATACGGGTTTAATGGCGTTATCTCGGCGCGGCGCCCGGTGCGGGATGTGTGCAGCACTCATCCGGCGCTGTTTAACCTCTTCACCTTGATTAAAACGGCAAACACCGCGCCGCGGCCCGACGGGGCTCGCTCGGGCAGCACTAATGCTAAAAGCTCTTAATGCGGCTCCGGGTCAATGCCGGGCGGCCTTCACACCGCGCCCGTTGCAACTCGGCGCTAATTGTTTTGTAAACCCATATGTTGTTTAGCCAATTAGCGCTGGGGAGATAAGCGAGCGACGGTGAACCGCTGCGGCGGTGGGGTCGGAGGGGGACGGCCACGGCGCTTTCAGTGACCTCCCCACCCCAACCCCCCGTCGGGGGCAGCGCGGGGAGAGCCGCGGCTCTTTACGGGCGGTCCCGATGCGGGGCGCTGCGCGGCTCCTCCGCCCCTACGGACCGCGCTGAAGGCAGGGCTCTGTTTTTATGGCCCAGCTCAGTCGGGTCGGGGCCCTACTTGGGGCCCCCAAGGTCCACTTGGGGCCCCGTGGTCCACTTTGGGCACGCAGGAAATTTGATCTGCAACTTTGCCTCGGGTTTACAGCACCTCGGCTCAGATCTCCTCCTTCCTGCACTCGATGTTGGTCCATAGCAGAGCCCCTCGGCAGTGCCTGTAGCTCCCGGCCCCGCAGCTGCTCCCTCCGTGCTGTGACTCCACACACATCCCCACACACCCTACAGTAGTGCCGTGCATCTCCACCTGCTTCCCCCACTGTGGGCACACGGGCTGTTGTATTCAGCAATGGGCTTCAGTTCGATTTATGTTTTAATAGTGCGTGTTTTCACATTGAAGTTCGGCCTTAGAGCTTAATTATACTTAATTATATTTTTCTTCTCATTTGCTTTTGAGCCACTGATGAATTCTGTCTCCCTCCTTGTGCCACGAGGATTGCCATGTAATTGAGGACAGGTCAGGGCATTGTTTGGAGCCTCGCACCAAACATTCACTTCGCTAAAGAGCAGAGTTGGCCCCGAGTGCTTCAGTGGGCACAGCCCGTGGGACTCAGCCCTTCCCACACAGAACCCCGTGGTGCTTCCCTGTAGCTCCGTACCCAGTGACTTTCTGTCTCCGCAGGAGAACCCCCAGGCCACCAAAAAGGAGGAGGCGGAAGGCACCAGCGATCACGGTGACCCACGACCAGAGGGCAGCCCCAGCCCCGCTGGAGGGGGCGAGGCCGAGCCGCAGGACAGCCCCTCGGCCGCCTCGCAGGAGGACCCCGAGTCCGATGTCTCTGACGACTCCGACCAGGAGGTGGACATCGAGGGCGACAAAGGCTTCTACAGTGCCACACGCTGATGTCCCGCAGGCACGGAGCCGAGCTCGGCTTGTGCTGTCCCGGGACTGCGGGACTGTGGGACTGTGGGACTGAGGATTTTATGATGGGAGAGGACTTTCACCATTCCGCTGAAAGACAAAGAAGCACAAATGGACTCGTTCTGTAATGATCTGAGAAAGAAAAGATGTATGTTCTACAAAAGATCCGGTTTTTGGCAGATCTCTGATTTGATTATAGGGACTGATCGGTGGTTTGTATTTACCGTGTAAGATCTATGTACATTGATTGGTGCTCTGACTGGAACACAGCGCTGTGCCCATCTCTGGCTGCTGGAAAACACCTCCCCCCCCACCCCCCCAGCTCATGTGGTGGGGGAGCGCAGAGGGCAGGACTGTGCCTTTGTGTGTGCAAACGAATGTGCTTTAAATGGATTACTTTAAGTGCCCTTTGCAGGCAGAGAAATGTATTCTGTGCCGTATAGAGGGATTGGAGCATCCCGACAGTGCCTTACCCCACACAGGACCTGCTGCCGCCCCCCCCCCCCCCATCCCCCGGCGGGATTCCCCCCGGACTGGACAAAGGCTGTGGCCGTGTTCAGTTTTGCTCTTGATGGAATGAAATGTCTCTCATCGTATTTTGGAGGACTTTGCTCCACAATCTGCGTGGTTCCATTTGCAGGAAACAAAACAAAACAAAACAAAAAACAAAAAACCCACAACTCAAAAGCAATGCATCAAACCAACCCAGTTTGTTTTTTCCTTGACAAATCTTCCCCAGATTTCCCATTTCAGAAGGAAATGAGGGGGCTGATAGGGCACTGCAGGGTGCAGCGTGGCAGTGGGCAACCATGCCCAGTGTGTCCCCCTCTGCTTCTGTACATAGCAGTTTGCCTTAAAAGTCTTTGCGGTTTTATACCTCATGTTCATATTTTGTACATATTGGTTCAATGTTAAAAAAAAAAAAAAAGAAGAAGAAGAAGCAAAAACTGGTATTTAATTTTCGATGGCTTTGTTTGAAATAAAACGAAACTCTGCACCACCGCTGCCCAGTTCCTGGCACAGCCCCCAGGTGCCCGCAGCCGGGCTTTGCCCTCCGACAGCCGTTACCCGCGGCCTCGTGTCCCAATGTGTCGCCTGGGTTCTCTACCGCGTGTCGGCTTCGTGCGAGTCCGGAGGAATGCGGAGAGAGAGAGTGGGAGGAGGAGCGGGTCCACGGGGCATCGACCGGAGCCGGGCAGCCGCTGACCCGCATGAGTCAACAGCGGTGATCCATCGGCCTTTCTCCGAAACGCGGCGGGGGAAGGGGGGGAGGGGGAGACCTCGCGGGGTCTCCCCTCGGCTCGAGGAGCCGGTGCGTCGCGTCAGAGCGGGTCCGTGCCCCCTTAAAGCAGCCGGGCTGGTAACAGCCGAGCAAACACCGCGCAGAGCGGGAGGCGCCGCTGCCGCTGTTGGGCTCCGGCAGGTGTTCTCCGCCGTGAAACGTGTGGGAGCATCGCCGTGGGCAGTGAAAAGCATTCCCACAGCCCCATTCCCCTCGGGCCGGGTCTCCACTGGAGTCACACCGAGCACGAAGCGGTGCCAGCAGGGCAGCCCGGCCGTTCTCCTTCCTTCTCCGGGATCGCGCGGCACCGGCCGTGCCATCTCGCGGGGACGGGAACACGCGTGGGACCGAGCCGCGACGGGCTGCGGGAGCCCCATTTCCAACCGAGGCGGTATGGGATCCCCTGCCCCGAAAGGTTCGCATCGCACCCGGAGCCCAGCAGGACTGTGGATTTGCGGGGTGTCGGGCAGGTGGCGGGGCTGTGCCAACGCCACAGGTCCCCGCGGAGCTCGCACTGAGGGTGGGCAGCGGTCAGAGCTGCGGCTGACGCTGGAGCCCGCTCCCAGCATCCCGGCCCCGAGAGGAGCTGCCCGCATCCCGGCGATCGCGTCCTCGGCGGGAGAAAATCTGCCGAGGCACTTTACAGCGTGCGGCAAAAGCTTCGAGCCCCTTCCGTGCCACACCGCTTTTTCCTATTTGTTTGCGTGTTGGCTATTTCATGCCGAACTAGCACGTATGACCTTTCCAGCACAACTCCCGTCTTGTTTTCGACTCTTTTATCAGCAGATTCAACTTGAAAATGGTTATCATTTAGCAGAAAAACAAACAGAAAAGCACATTTTTGTAAGCAAAACGTTAATGATTGGAAGAATTGCACCGATTTCAGCTTGACAGTGTGTGATTAATCCTCCGGGTCAGGTACTTATATTTTTAGTCATTGGGTTCGTCGGCCTTTGATATGCAGAACTCTTTCTAGCCTAATAGGCTATCGACCCGGCTGCCAATGTACTTTGACTCCTTAAACAGCGGCTCCCAGGTGCGGGGCCTCGGCTGCTCGGGACGGGCACACGCGGGGACTCCCGGAATTTGGGGCCGCGGAGCTGCGGGTGCTGCGGGTGGGACCCGGCTCCAAATCTCTGGTGAACGACTCCAAAGCTCCGGATCCGGGACACGAGTGGGACACCCGGTCGTGGTCCCCCAGAGAGCCTCAAGCACTCTCCCTTTGAGCTCCACGAGACAGAAAGCCCAGGACTGCTGGTGACAGCGGGTGCTCACTGCAGAGCCTGTACTGACTGCAGAGCCTCAGCCTTATCCCGACTCATGGGTTTTGTTGGCTCCAGGCCTTTATTTACATCAGCAAATCAATCTATGTTTCTGAAATATTTCAGATAGTGCACCTGAAGGACAAAAGAACTCGACACAATTATTAAAAAGACTCCTCATGGTAACTTAAGTGTCTCCATTCCATAGCTCCATTGCTCCAGAGCTATTGGCAAATGACCGCTGAGAACAAGCAAGCCAAGCCTGGACTGTCATTTTGGAGTTATACACAAGAATTACTGTTCAGTAGGCACTTCATTTGCTTTGTTAATTTTCTTTTTTCCCCTAATTATCAGGTACCAATCCATGTCACAAAGACGTTATTTCTAATGGGACTCATCACAACGTGCTTTTTTTGCTATCTGACCAACACACAACCACGCCATAAAGCCTTAATGGTAAATAGAACTAATAGAATTTTTTTCTTTTCTATACTAACAGATCCTGTCATTAAGCAGTCGGAGAGGCTGGACTTGTGCTTCTTCAGTTGCATAAAGACTTTCCCCCTTGCTCCTTTGTCTTATCTATCTGTGTATTTATTTATTCATTTTCCCAAGCTGCTGTTTAAGATGTCAAAGATGCCAGGACAGTTCTGGTAACTGTTCCTCTAACTTGTTCACTCGCCATTCAGCTTTCTAGAAGCACAACAGAACAAGGATGTACATAAATGACTAAGAGTTTATCTGCTGACTTGGTAGGAGATGACAATTATCACAACAAGAATGTGTACACACATGTTGGCCACACACTTTAAAATAGATGTTTAAAGGAGTAGCTTAGGTTGAAGGTTTTTTCTGAGTAAATTTTATCAAAAATCAAGGCAGAGGCAAAGCCAAGGGATGGCCAGTGGCCTGTAAGAAATGAGTGGGTTCTCACACCCAGCTGGAAGCACTGATGGTAAAGAAGCATCAAACTTTGCTTTTGTTGGTACAGCTTTGGCAAATGCACAGGGGCAAGGATTGAATGGGCATGGAAAATGAGCTGGAATCTTATCAACCTTAGAGAAAGGACCGTTTCCAGAAGTAATTCAATCAAGCTTATTTGAGGACTAAGAATCTCATCCAACAACACATAGATTTCAATGTCCATAATGTTGTATTAGCAGGCTGCTATTGCCTGCTGGGACTCCAGACCTGCTACAGCTGAGCAGAACACAATCTTAGTGGACTTTTTCTAAGTTTTGCTTTTGAAAAAAGAGGTTCTGAGTAAACTGAATGTACTGAAATAGGATCTTTCGCTCCTATCACCGAGATGAGGCCTCAGAGTGTTCCTCCACTTGTCAATTGTTGTCGTTGCTTTGAAAACCTATGTGGAGAAGCTCCTTATTGATATCTGCCTGTGCTCCACGCTCCTCGGCTGCAGCAGTGAGGCTTTCCATGATCTCAGTATGTCACTCTAGAAAACATTCTGGCATTGTCTAGACAATTATAAAAGTTGTGTTTTCAGAATTATTTAGGAAACACTTTTTAACATCTTTAAGCATTTGATTTGTCCTGTCTATACAAGGTTTCACAATGTGGTAGTCAAGCCACCTTAGTTTATGTCTTAAAAACACAACTTCTATTCTAGTCTAGACATATTGAAAGAAGGTGTTTGTCCTGGAGTACACCCACATGAAGTGATGGCAGTTGTACAATGAGTCAGGGCTGCTCACTACCATGTAGTTTATCTCAATGACTTACTGCAGATACTAGGGTAAAGATCACAGGTTAAAAGGGGAAGAGGTAACTTTTACGTACATCACTTCTTCCACTTCCCTTTCTGTATGAGAAGGAACCCTCCTACCCAGCCCAAAGAACTACTCATCTGCACATGGGGTTGGTCAGAGCAACTGATCCTGCCCACACCTGTGGTGCAGCAGAACACATTATGCACAAAGCTGGGTAGTTACAGAGGTGCCTCTGTAGGGACCCACGCTCTTGGTCCTGTCACCAAACCTTCAGTTCTGCCAGGGAGCCCTTTCTACACCCATTTGGAACAAACGTTGCCCAGGCTAGTACAATATAGTACAAAACAATCCCAGGATCCCACTTCTGACACGCTGAGATTGTTCAGTCTAGAGAAGAGGAAGTTGAAGGGAGGCTTTATCACTCTCTACAGCTCCCTGAATGTAGGTTGTAGTAAGATGGGCATCCACATCTTCTCCCAGGTAGCAGAGATGGGATGGGAAGTAATGGCCTTACATTGAACCAGGAGAGGTTCAGATTGGATATTAGGAAATATTTCTTCTCAGAAAGAGTGGTGATGCACTGGCACAGGCTGCCCAGGGAGATGGTGGAGACACTGTCTCAGGAGGTGTTTCAAGAAAAGGGTAGAAGGGGCACTGAGTGACATGGTCTGGAGCAGTCACAGACATGGGTTTGTGGTTGGATTAGGTGATCTTAGTGGTCTTTCCAACATTAATGATTCTATGAGTCTATAATATAATGGTCTTTGAAGAAGAGTTTTGCACTAACTTGGTTTGTTTTGTTCAGTGGGTATCTGGAACGTGGCGCCCAGGCAGCTCTGCTGGCACACTGAAGAAATGTTGCCAATTTTGGTAGTATGGTTGGTTGGTCCTGGG